TCATCAATCTTCGTAGATCGGATTTCCTCTAATAAGATATAAGATATTTGCACATATACATACTCGACTAATTCATCGTCTAATACATTCACTTTTTCAAACGACTTAAAGAGATTCATGAACCTCTATAACAATATAACTTGTTTGACCAAAAACAGCGTACTATGTTCTCCCCTCGCAAGCACAACACAAAGACAAGACAACCAATTGCAAACTCATTCATGTTTTTTTTGTTTTCAAAATTTCTAATACAATTTATGAGGATTAACCCGATATATAGCTAAATAATTTTGCAAGCAGAGGTAATCTGATGTAAGCTGAAATTATTAAATTTTAGTTATTAAGAGGGTTAATTAAGAGTATACTTTATAGGCTAAGTTGTGATGAATAGATGAAGTACTTGGCATATACCTGCGCCGAAGGAAAATAGCCGTTGGAGGCTAACTAGGCTAGTTCTTAGCAACTAAGGGCACGTTTTTCTTGTTTCTAATTGTTTTAGAAACATCTTCAAAATTGTCTAGAAATTCTGGAAACAAAAATGTGTTTCTTATTTCTTGTTCCAATAAAATCAAGAGCTTAATATCAAAAATCATTGATGTCTCTCGGATTCAGGTCTTAGAGCGTGGGTGCCCCTGGATATAGGGAAGCAAAGCTCCAACCCTGTTATCAAAAACAAGAAAGTGTTATCAAATGTAATTATGTTTTTCTCCTCTTTGGTTTTACACCATTTAGATTGATTTAATAAAGGTTGAGAGAACTTAACTTATGTTCTTATTTCTTCCTCTCGTTACGTTACTTTACCTTCTATCGAGTGTAAGTGCGGCACTAAGACCTGAAGACTTTTGTTACGTTACTTAACGTTACTCCATTTTGCTGTACCTTCTTCCCCAGACGAGTTTGTTTGATGACATTCTAATTATTTATTTATTTTTTCCAATTTTTAATAAACCTAAATATTTTATAAGTTAAGAATGATAAAACAACTATTTCATTTACGGATTGAAAAAAAATTGCGAATTAAAACTAAAAGCAAAAAACTTGATTTCGTTGTCATTTCTTAAAATGAGAAGCGAGGAATAGGCATATTACCATATGTTTCTCAAAAATTGGAAATGAAAAATAAAAAAAGGAGCGAGAACATTAATAGGCCTAAAGTTTCTTATTTCCATTTATTTTTTTCCAAAACATAAAACAAAAAATTAATTTATCATTCCTGCATAATAAATATTAAAAAATAAATATAGCATAAAAATTTAAGTATTTAATTTACAATTATTTTTTTACATAAACTTTTACTTTTTCAATATAAAATTTTACATAACAAGAAACAAAAATAGTTACCAAAACACATTTTTATTTCATTTTTCAATATAAAAGAAAAAACAAGAAACAAGAAATCCTAATCAAATACAATTATATATTTTTTTTAAACAATAAATTACCAAACAGGTCATGAATCATCGAATGACGATCTTAACCAAAGCTAACAAGCCCTAAGATATGTTATCCAGAGAGATGTGAAAAGAAGTAAAAATCTCTGGGATTGGCTAAAATTTAAAGATAGTACACAGAGGAACACAAATATTTAAAGTTAGCATGCGTGAAAGTTGCTGAAACTATGGGAAGAGCTATTTTCAACGAGAATAGATAGATGGATAAGAGTTGCTGAAAATGGATCATATGACTTTTCCGTTTTGAGTTGAACCACTTCTATGAGAGTCTAGTGGCTAGTGTCTTCGTTGTCCATACGCTCGGGTTGTCAAGTATTATAGATGCTCCCATTTCTATTGCTAAAAACAACACCACAACTCAAAGGTTTCGATAAGTTAAAGCATTAGTAAAGCTACTCTCTTTTACAGATTGATTTAGGATCACATTTATCATTCTGCCAGACATTATTACCTATTTACGCACTGAGACCACTTGTCAACACACTGTTTATTTCGCCAATAATGTTGACAGGTCTCCCATCAAACATGGATGATAAACTGCTTTCACATAACTTCTTCAACTCCCTGGTTTTCGCCAGAGCTGCTTCCTGCAACACCACCACCAAACCTACTAAGTTTTTCTTTTTTTTGGTGGCAAAATATCTCATCATATTTAGTCAAAGTTAGCCCCATAAATGAGTTGATAAAAAAGCCTCTGGACAACTGTGAGGAAGAACCCAGCATGAATTGAGAATTTTGAAGATTCAATGCCAACTAGAGGCAGCCAACGACCAAAATAAAAAACACGTGTACTTTGTCCTTCCCATGATTTCTTTACATAAAGTACCAATTGGGGGCCAACAAAACAGCAGGCGTTTTTTTTCTGTAGTCTACAGCAAGTATTGAGTTTTTCCAAGTCAAAGATCTAAAAGAAAACTTTCACCTTCTAAGGTGATTTGATTATAGACATTGTTTCTCTCTCCTAGCGATGCTCTCAGGTGAACTCTGAACTTTGAACGATGATTATGGTTACTGAGAAAATTGCTGAAGATGGTGACACTGCCTGCTGATAAGTGTGGTGGAGCACAAAGTCTTCGTGTGTGATTATGATTGTAAAAGACAGAGTAGAGTTTTTCGACCGGAGGAAAGGGGAATAACAAATAACTAAGCCATTGCCTTGACTAAGTCAGAGTTGGTTTGGTTGTGATAAGATATCTGATCTTGCTCTTAACCCTCTAGATCATAAGCCCATCTGGTGTTCGTTATGGGTTCAAAAGATAACAAACAAGAGAGGTGTTTTTGCAGAAATTATGAAACTGGAGGGAAATGGAAGGGGAAGCATTAATATAGTTGTCCCTTCAGCAGAAAACAAAGCGGGATGACAAGCCATAGTGTGAATGATCAAGATTGTCAAGTATGAAAACAAAAAGCTCTTCAGAAAAGAATGACTGAATGACACATCCCCCTACGATCAAAGGGTGCTCATACGCGGGATAGTGAAGCCTTAGATGCACGTACAGCTAAAGGAAGAACCAAGAGATAAGGATAACAAGGAAGGCAGTCTGATTTTTGTGCGTTGCTTGGCATTATTTTCACGATTATTGGCACAAGATTAATCAGACATTGCAAGAGTTGGTGGATGGTCAATCCATTCCAACCCGATAGAGTTAACATGCAGTGAATCCGATTAAAACTACTCTTCTATGTTCAAATAAAGGCTGGTAAACCTTGGGGAGTTGTAACCTGAAATTAACGGACAGTGTTCACCATGGGTGAAATTCAGTCATCCCGTCCTACGGAGGATGGATTAAAGCTAGAAATATGTTGTTGGATATGTGGAACTAAGAGAATTGGAGAATTATTGGCCATCAATGTGGGGGCTTCATTCAATGTCCATTAAGACGAAAAATGTGGGAGAGGTTTATCTGTATAAATTTGAATAAGGAGAAGATGTTCAAGGATTTTTTCCAGAGGCAGTTGATCTGGAATCTGAGAGGGGAGGGGTTTGAATATCATTAATTGGAAAATTACATCTCAGCACATCACTAAAGGAGGAGTGGGTTTAGGAGGCTTGGAAGAGAAAAACTTAGCCTTTTGGCAAAGTGGGGCTGGCGTTTTCTTAAAAAGAGAAAGAGGCCTTGTGGAGGAAGGTGATTGCAAGTAAATAACTTGATGGCCAAGGATTGGATTGCTTTTTGCAGAAACTATTGCAGATTTAAAGGCACATGGAAAGCTATTGCAAATTGCTGTCAGAAAGATGATCACTTGTATAAAGTTGTGACTGAAAAAGCGGACAAAATCCTATTCTGTAAGAATCATTGGCTTGGTGATGGCCCAATCTGTTCATCATGTTGGAGACTGTATATATTAGTTGATTCTAAAGGAGCCACCATAGATCACGGCTAGTACAATAGCTCTATTCAGAAGCTGAAAACTGTTCTACATAGCATTACATAGTTCCAATCCACTTTTGTGGCTGAGGAGACTAAATACTTGATGAATATCTTCTTATAGCCAATGAGCTCATTGGCAATTGCAAAAGAAAGAAAAAGCGCTAGTCATCAAGCTTGACCATGAGAAAGTGTTTGACAAAATTGATTAAGATAATGAACAATACTTGCCAACATACCAGTCAATAGGATCTCCTATTAACTTTTTGATATAGTGTATTTTTATTGCATTTAATAGATAAGTACACTAAATAAGTACACTAAAATTATAGCTACTAACAAAACACCTAAGAAAATCAATAGGAGCTTCTGCCAATCAATTTGTGAAGAAAATGTTTTTCTTGCCACTCTCAATGCCTAGGGTCCATTAGCAATGGAGGAATTGGATCTACGTATGTGCCCCTAGTGCTAATTTCTCCACCATTATAAATGGTACAAGGTCTTTGACAAGGAGGAGATTCTTTGGCTACAACCTGCTAGAACCATTTTTGGTCCCTTTGGATAGAAAGGAACACTTATCGATTCAATTATATGCCTCTTTCTTTTGATAGGTTCCCTGAGTTGGATTCTCTTATTGCATTAGTAAATGATTTCGCTCATTTTACAATTTTTTTTTTATAAGAAACGATTCATTAAAAGAAAAGACAAAAGAACAACCTAAGGACAAGGGCCGAGGAGGCCCCTTCCAAAAAACTAACAAAGAAACACTCCCCAATCATGTGCCCAAGAAGACCCCCTAGAGAGCTAGTACATCACAATTTTCCAATCTTGAGAAATTAAGGCAATTACAAAAGAATCTTCTACGAGTAAGGCACCAAGAAGCCATATTATTGTACAGTTTCACAAAAAATATCAAAAGGGAGAAAAGTATTGTTGAAAACTCTGTGGATCCTTTCCTCCCAAATGCTCCCAAAAAAGGCCCTAGCAAAAATCTTAGCTTTTCCTTTGGAAAACCCCCTTGTAACACTTCAAGAAGCCAATCATCTACCAAACGGGGTAGGCACCCCAAAGAGACTTATTCCTTCATCAAAAAAGATCAACACATCATAGAAAAAGTGCTCTGGAGAAAGAGGTGGTCCAAAGTTTCACCATTCCTAAGGCAAAGAGAGCAACCCGTGGGGGATATCACCAAATTTGGGAGTTATTTCTAAACTCTAAAGTTTTTCACGGGTATTGAGGCTTCTGTGGGCTAAGCTCCAAAAGAAAAACCTTGACTTTCTTAGGTAGGAACATAGGGCCTTTTGTAATCCCTCCATAGGGCCTTTTGTAATTTCATACATCAATGAAATTGTTTCTTACACAAAAGGGTAGGAGTCACCAGACACATCCAGCTACTAAACTTTCTGTTCAAAATACCTCTTCTAAAGCCCAAATTCCAGTTCCCTTGCTCGTCATTCCAACATTCTACCACTGTATTTTCCTTCTTAAGCGAAATGCTATACAAATCTGGAAATTGAGACTCCAAAGATGAGTTTCCCAGCCAAATATCCTTCCAGAATTTAATCCACCGCTTATTTTGGGCTTTGAAMAAAATAACTTCATGAAACATGGCTCTGCGTAGCTATGTCCACCCACGGTCATCCCAAGGCTTTCCCTTTAGGAGGGGGAGGAATACAGCTTTGACAATCTCCACCATAGATGCTTGAAATAACACATTTCCATCTTCTTGGGTAAACCTCGACAACCACTTTTGGAGAAGGGTATTATTCCTCTGGTTGTAGGCACTCAATCCTAAAGCAAGATACATCTTTGGCAAAAAAAAAAAAAAACTTGATCTCAACTCACCAAGTGTCGTTAAAGTGGCAGCCATTCCCATTCCAGAAAAAATTCCTGACTATCCTCTCCATATCCATTACTACTTTGTTTGGAGCTTTGAAGATGGAGAAAGCATAAAGAGGAATGCTGAAGAGAGAAAGGGTGAGCCGCGTCCTTTTGAGAGCATAAGGTTTCTCCAGTTTTCAACCTTGGCTCTGAACTTATCCACAGTAGGATCCCAGAAGGATGCCACCTCCAAAATAATTGATGGGGAGTTGTTTTACTTTATAGCCAAAGATAGAGGCATGGTGAGACAGAACCTCCATCTCCATGTTGACTCCAACCAAAGGTGTCTTCTCCAGATTAAGGGAGAGCCCAGCATCCAAGAGGAAAATATTGAGGAAGTTCCACCATCTGTCTAAATTGTCTTCAGAGTTCTGGCAGAAAATGATTGTATCGTCAGCATATTGGAGATTCGTAACCATAACAGCTGGTCTACCTATTGGAGAGCCTCTCAAGAATCTCTTTTCACAACAAAAGTGGATGGAACTATTTAGGAAGTCACCCACAGAATGAAAAGGAAAGGGAAAATCATAACAAAAGTGGATGGAACTACTTAGAAAGTCACCCAAAAGAGTGAAAATGAAAGGGGAAATCATAACAAAAGTGGATGGAACTAGTTAGGAAGTCGCCCAAAAGAGTGAAAATGAAAGGGGAAAGGGGTCCCCTTGTTTAAGCCCCTTCTTAGCAAAAATCTTTGCTGGCGGTTTGCCATTAATTAGGATGGGAAAATTAACTATAGAAAATACAACCTTTCATCCCTTGCCTCCATCTCGTGCCAAAGCCTTTGTACTCCATGATGGCATATAAATAGTCCCAACGACCTTGTCATAGGATTTCTAGAAGATCCAACTTAATCAGAAAACCCTCCTTTTCCTATCTTTCCAATCTTCCACTACTTCCAAGGCTACCAAGATAGCATCAATTATCTGCCTACCTTCAACAAAAGCTGCTTGAGCAACGTCAATAATTATCTGCCTCATTTGTCCGATTGTTTATAGAACATGTGACCTTTGATTTTGTCGATTAATTTAAAAATGTAGAACCAGGGGGATCAGGTAGATGTAGGATCTGCCTTGACTTCTCAAATCTTGCTAAGGTTTGCGTTTGACAGTAAGTGAGAATATTCCCTTTTCTTTTGTATATTTCATCTTATTAATGAAATGTAATATTTTTATCAAAAAAGAATTAAAAAAAATGAAGGAGAACTCACTTGTTTTGGCCAAGATGAAGCTAATGAATTTTGAAGCTCCATGCGTTTGGCAGCTAAGTCCTTTAACCCTTCTTTCAGCTTCACTTCACGCTGCTTCTTTTCCTCTAGTGTACTAACTAATCTCTCTAGAAATCTGGAATCAAAATTTACATTAGTTTACCTGTGAATGGTCAAATTTAAGAAAAGTTCCAAAAAAATTTAGAGAAAATGAAATTACAAGGTATAATATAAATAATTAACCAAATTAATAATCAAACATAGTTAACGTAAATCAACTAATATTTAAACAAATTAATTAGGCCACAGCTTAAACAAACTAACAAAAGTCAAATGCCCACAACAGCAATCAAAGTGAACCTTGATCCAAATCTCAAGGCTCAAAAGTGTACTTTTTCAAAAATTTAAAAAAAAAATTATGTCAAACTTAAAACCTATGTTACATAGAATTGTATATACTTAGTTTCTAAACTTTAATTTCAATTATACCTCTAAGATTGATTCATGTTTATCTTAGTTCTTACCGTTAATACTGGTAGATGAAATGAAAATGCAGTACTTCTTGAAATTTAGATGGAGTGACATGATTTAGCAACCAGTTAGATGGATGTCATACATCGGTTGGACAAGTTGGGCATGTGAAAATTTAGGAACCAAAAATATAATTTACACTAAGAAAATATATCAAATCCAATCTGATCTAGTTACATATTCATATCTAATTTTTCTATGGACAAGCAGTTAGATCATGTGATCTCATCCAAATTTCAAAAAATGAGTGTCACCTATGCGTATTGTCAACCAATATTCATTGAAAAAAGTAGGAATAAGTATAATTTCAAAAGCTATAGATGTAACTAAAACTTTTTAAGTTCAAGGACTAAATAGATAACATACTTGAGCTAAAATATGTAATTTAACCTAGAAAACAATACCATTAAAAGAGTCAAACATGCCAACGTAAACATTCATAGTATTTAAACTGAACAGTTTGTTTCTATGATAATATTACAATATTTTGATAAGAGACAGAAATTTCACACTAAAAAAAATCACAATTGCAAAGTATATAAAACAAAGTGTCATAAGTCCACCATCCCAGTTCATCAATCAACAGAAGTCACAAATGAAAAACATAATATTGTCACCAAAGAAAACAAAATGCTAATAAAAATGAACTCAGAATGATAAATTAAGTGGCCTAGTTTTTAATTCAAAAAGTGGGGTCGAATCGGTTACTTATAACTTCATTTTATTAGCATTTTCCAATAAATTTTTGTATAAAAATCTGGAAAATCCTTACAAGAGGTGGTTTGAAAAAATATGAAAACAATAACAAACCTAGTAATAGTAGTACCTTTTAGAGTTGAGAATCATAATTAAATCTTGAGTTTTCCTACTTGACAGTAATGATATAGCCAAGGAAACATCTGATAGCATCGTCTCAATGGCATCAGGGGTATATTGCTGCAGCACAAAGGGAGCAACTGCCTGGACTTGATGTTGCAACGATAGAGTTTCATCATTCTTCAATTCATTCAAACGTTGATTCAGAAATGCCTTAAGCTGAAATTGTAATTAGAAATATACCATAAAACCTTCATCTAAGGTATTTGATTTGATTATATGAACAATACCACTCAAATTCTTTACCAAAGCTATGATATACCTCATACAGATCATCAAGAATCTTATTCCTATACTCTGTCTCCAAAAGCTGGCTCCTTACTTCAGTGGTTTCTGCAGATTGAGTCGAAGGAATGAATGTTTTATGATCCATCTCAATGTCGGGCAAGGTTACATCATCAATGATATCAACTTGAGGTGTTTCAACACTGACATCCCAAGATATCTCAGACACAGTAGTCTCTGGCAATGTACTACTACCCTCCTTGTTAGATTCCATTTGATCTAATTCCACAGCTTCACTCGCATGAACTATTTCATAAGGTCCCAAACCATTTCCTGTATCCTCGGTCTCTTCCAATGCACCTATATCCCAATCAATCTGAGTATTTTCTACAGATATATCCCAGTCAATATTATCAGCAGCAGTTCCTACTCCTCCAACAGCATCTGGTTCTATATAGCTTGACTGAACGTTTACAGAATCAACAATCTCAAAGCCCACAGACACATGTAAAGAAGGAGGATGCTCACGTAAATCGCCCAGGTTTGGTACTACAGTCACATGTTTCTGTATACATGTATGCAATGTCAGAATTAACATACCACATCACAATAATTTCGACGTTATCAGCATCAGCAAATAAATTACTCTATTCTTCTCTATGACACTTATGATCATCAGACAATGTTTATTATACTATTGCCTTACATCCTTGTCCGAGTGAGCATCCCTTACAAAATTGGAATAGTATTCAATAGCACGTGACACAGAATCACCATTTATGACTTCTAATATTCTGCTAAATGTGCTTGGAAGTGACCGTGCGGTCTCCAGAAGTTCAACTCTTACATTTTTTCCCTGCAAAAAGAAGAAGATATTCACGCAATGAAAAGAAGATACTAAAGTTGGCAATACGTGGAATAGGTTATAAGTTATAACCTGCAAACCGAGATCCTGGCAAGCCTCAAGATATTTAGTTGCCGAAATAGAAGCGTTTCTTTTAGTATCAGATTCTTTACGATCCAGCTCAGCTAGCTGTTGATGAATCTTTTGGACCTGTTTCTTCTGATATGGACTTCACATTAAAAGTAACAGTAGCATGAAAATTGAGCTCTTCCATATTCATCAATTATTACGAAGGTAAAACTCATAAGACAATTACATTTCATAAATCACATTCTGAACAATTATTTGAGCTGCTTCGCCAAGAAAAATATGATCCTTCTCATAAGTTCGTACAATCGTCTCCCAAGCACCCTGAGAAAACAATATTTTTATTTAGAAAACAAACTTACTAAAATTGAACAATAATTCAAGCCTGCTGATCTATAGTAGAGACTGAGAAAAAAGCAGAAAAAGACAAGTCTTACAGCAGCACCTGATAGCCGGCCAAATATATTCCGGCTTTCTGAGGTTGACTCTAGAAGAATATTATATACTTTCTTCGCCTCCAAATAACCAATATCTGAGAAACACCCACAACACAGTGCACAAGTCATCAATGAGATATAAACTATAAACTCATAAGTAAAGGAACTGATTACGCACAAGGGGATGCATAATATAGAGAACGATTTTATCAATTAGAAATGTTTAAGAGAATTGTGATAAAACCTCTTTATTTATTAAATAAAGAAAAGTGCATTGCCAAGGGATAATTTGAGATATCCCTAACGCTCCTGACTCATATACCACTGCAAATCAAAAGAGTACCTATCTCTCTCTATGTCTCTACTAAATTCTACTACTGTCAGAGTCTTTATCAAGTGTGGTCATTTCCAGTGAACCCCACATCCCTCTTAACTTCTGAACGGATATTCCACTGCCCATCTTTCAACTACAGGTTTCTTTATCACTCTATAGTTTATTTGGTTGGAAAGATATAGAAGAATGTTTATGAGATTAGACAGGGCTTCTAATTCAAATTTGTCAAGGCCTTTTTTATATTTCTTCACTTATTTTAATGAAAGTTGATTTCTTAATTTTTTTTTAAAAAAAACAAAAAAAGAAGAATACAAGTCTCATTCATGTACGCATCAATAATGCTTCCTTTGCGGAAACTCATTAAAGATCATCTTCATCAAATTGCCCACATGATCTACCAATTTTCCTCGTAAAAGGCCGTAGGGAAGTCATCCACGATCTTACTCCCCTCACAACTAAAATCACTTCCATAATCTCCTTCATGGTAAAAAGAGATTCCAACTCTTTCCTACCCTATCAAAAATATAAATCAGTTCAACTAAAAAAGGGCTTAGGAGACAAAGGGGCTAAACCCCATTTTTAGAGTTATTGGAATGATTTATATTTTTGATAGCATGGGAAAGGGGGAAGGCATAAAAGGAAGTAAAAAATACAAGATACATCCTTCAATCACCTTCAGCCAGGTCACCAACCTGGATTTCAGCACTCTCCTTTGTTCCTCATGAGACTTGCAATTCTAAACAACATTGTACTTTAGTCCACTTCTTTAACCATTGTACACCTTTTGGAGTAACAACTCAATCTATCCCTTCAGAGTTCAGGTTAAGCCATTCCTATTTTAGCCCCTTGCTCAAAGAACCAAAAGTTGCCAAGCTATCCAAAAACATCAACCTATATAAGATATCCTTCTTCAAATGGAGGTCCCCAAAAACATCATCCTAACGCAGGTTTAAGATAAGCCAACATATTCATAATAAACTCCTCCCGCCTACCATCCACCCTAGCAGGCAACAGAAAAGGAAAGGTGCTCTAGAAAGAAGGGTGTCCAAGCCACATGTTCTCAAATCCAAGAGCATACTGAACCCATGAGGAAAGCTAATTGCAAAGAAAGATAGGAAATAATCGAATGTGACTCAAGGACTTGGAGATTGATTAATGAAAACATTAATAGACTCCGCTACATGCAAGCAAATGAAACATAATACTTCCGGTTGAAAACTTGAAATTCTAAATCTGACCTTCATGGTCTAAGGTATGGAAATGGGGATTGGCATCCTTGGGCAGCGACAAGAACTCCTTCGAAATGCGAACTCTCAAAGCTGCCAAACGCTTACGCCAATCAGCAGGTATTCTTTTCCGATCGACGAGCCATTCTTCACCCCCACGAAGGCCGAAAATTCAACTCCAATCAAATTGTTGAAAAACAAGTACAATTCAAACAAACAAGAAAATTACCAGCAACCAGATCAGCGAAATTCGAGAGAGAGAAGTATATAATGAAAAGGAGATCGCTGAATCAACGAGAGTCGGAGATTATTACCACCAAGACGGGAGAACGTGATGTCGATTGGAAGATTGCGAATATCCTCGGGAGCCTGCATTTTTTCCAGAAAAAATTCTTACAAAGCAAACACAGTAGTGAGAGTCTTTGTAGGCTTAAGGGGGAGTTCGGATCAGTTTTTGTCAAGGGGTTTAGGAATTGGGATTTTGGGCTGAGCCCATTTTTAAAGACAGATTTGATTTTTACTCCTCTTCTTTAAAATTAATGTTTTTCTACACTTTTTTATTTTCATGTGAAATTACATATTATTCGTCCAGAAATCCGGATTTTTTTTAATAACGTTTTAAATTAAACTTATTTTTAAATTAATGTTGTTTTAAACAAAAACAAAAAAGTTGCCAAAAAAAAATGCATATTTACAAACTTATTCCATAAATAATACTGGAATAGATTGGGTGGGGTTTCGCACCTAAAATGGTCGTCATTGTACGTGGCGCCACGATTGCACCACGTCATTTTTTTTTTAAACCAAAGCCAAGATGGAGAGACGACCATCTTCAATTTTTTTTTTTAATTTATATCATGTTTAAACCTTTATCTTTTTATTTATAATTATTTGTTCTTAAAAGTCAGTTTTTAATTTACATTAAATTTTTATTTTAACTAAATTTATAATAAATAAATTAAATTTTATGTTTTATTTTTATTCAAGAATTATGAAATTATCTATGGTAGTTCAAATTAAAAAAATATATAAAAAGATTGGAGAATAATGTTTTACGTTTATATAAATAAAATAAATATTAATGTCAATTTAGAGCCTATCTATCTATTCCGTCCCACAATGGAGACGTCGCCGGTTACGATATGGCTGACGACGAACTATTGGTGCTGCTGGTGTTTCTCGATCATCCGTAGGGTCTCGATCCTCTGTAGGGTTGAGGTATTGTCTATGCTCCCCACGTCCACATCCATGGCCAGCTACATAACCATACTGTGGTGGCAAAGGTGGTGTGCGATACTAACTATAACTAAGAGTCGGTATCATGACGGTAGGTTTGGATGGACCAGCATCATCCTGTGTCTGTGTAAACGGTGGAACGTCCTCAACGTTATAATAAATAACTTCAGGTACAAGATCGTCAAGCTCTATTGGGGCATCCTAATCTACTTGACGACGTCCTCTACGCCTAGGGCCATAAGCAGGAGTAGGCACTTTATACATCTGATGAAGGTTTTGAAGATGTCTCTCACCAACGTTACACACCTATTAATATCTTCCAATTACGAGATGATACTTATTTGCTCGAAACACGCAACCTACATGGAAAAATAAATTGAATAAATATATATTTAAATTCAAATAGTTTATATAACCAAATTAAAAATTGTACCGTAGCACCAAATGTTGCTCCTTCTCGAGTGATATATCACCTAGTGATTGATAAATACCAACTCATGTATTCTGGATCGCAAGCACAATCATCGTCCACAAGAGGACTAATGATAATAAAATCTCTACGCACGCACCACCTCGCCACAAAAGGTGCAGTCTGATCCTGCCATGTTCTATTCCAAAACGTCATGTATCCTCGGTTCCCAGCTGGACACTTCTGAAATTGCTTGTTTCATACCAAATTGTCTTGTAACTCTATCTTGCTGATGCCACTCAACTACATGAAAGCATATGAGTGGATTTATGGTGCACCATACGTCATGTCCATTGGTACAATAGGCAGATGGGCTTGCAAATTCCTTAGTATATGGCTCCCAGATCATCTGAAATAGTAATGTGAAAACGTATAATTAAATGTACATCAATATATACTTATAATTTCAAACAGTTAAACACATATAGAGCCTGGTGACAAGAGGTCGAACATGTATCTATATTGGATCAAAACATGTGTAGATATTTTTGTAACACAAAATTGATCCCTACATACAATAATATTATAGGTTAAAAAGAATTTCAGTAGAACAATTAAATGTGTGAAATAATCTAAATTAGTTATTAGAGGCACAACTAACTCAGGTTTGGGATCGACTATGGTCAAGACATTGGATGGGTTCCTCGAGGTCCAATGGGACATTTATCATATTCCTAACATTCACATATAATTCCACTAGTTATGGACACGATAGTGCAATTGTGAACATTAAATCCAGTGCATTCTAGTTCTCTAATGGAATGAGAATGTATTTAATTGACCCCAATAGTATTTGACTAGGATGTCTATAGACAAGTTTTAATTTATTTATGCTCATATCTACATTTAGTGACACTCCAACCATTTGAACAAAATGTTCATACTCAATATCACTATGCACAGTAAAATCTCCACTTAAAGTCCATCATAATCAAGTTCATTTACACCACCATTCCCATTTGTATATAGTACAATCACCAAACATTTAGCTGTCATTTAAATCCTATTTTGGAAAAATATAAATTCAATTAAGTTGTTAATTAAATCTAACTACACTATGCAAATAAACTAATTTTAATTACAATACAAAAAATGTATAACTTATAATTACCTAAACTTTTTGATAAACAAATTGCTCAAGACATATAAACTATTAAATAAAAGAAATATGAATTAACAATTAATTCAATTCAATTTACAAAATCATTAAACTAATTTATATTAAAAAATAAAATCTATTAAATTAGTATACATTCACAAATACTAAATTTTTATATAAGATTAATAAAATATAAATTTGATAGTAGTAAAAAAAATATAAATTTGATATTAATATTAAGTTAGAGAAAATTAAATATAAAAATACATATAGGAAAGCAAGAAAAGCATAACATATGAGTAAATAATAATATGAATAATAAAAATAAAAATAAAAGACAACAGAAATACCTCGAAGTGGTCCCTTGGAAGAATCTAAAAAACAAAAGTAAAAAAATGTGTATTTTAGTTACATTAAAATAAATAAATAATGAAAGAAGAGAAAAAAAGAAAAAAGAGTGAAGACAAAACCTACCGGAGAGAGGAGCGGCATCGACGGGGCGGTGGAGGAAAGGATGATGGCATCAGCGGCGGACTGGCGGATGGCCATCGGAGATTAGGAGCGGCAGCAGTGGGGCACGACAGAGGCAGCGGCAGGGCACAGTGGAGGCAGCGGTGGGGCACGGCAGAGGCAGCGGCGGGGCATGAGCGGCGGACGGTTGTTGGAGAAGAAGAAAACAAAGAAAGGGGGCAAGTGGGGTAGGTTAAAACCTCACTTGAGCGTCTCTTCAAGAGACGACCACACGTGTCAATCATGCACGGTGGTCGCCTCTTACTTTTGCGGTTATATGGTCGTCTCTTGTATTGATTTTAAATAAAGTAGACGCGGTGCCATCGTGTCGCCACATACAGTGGTCGTCTCTTGAAGAGACAACCATGTCCTACGTGTGACTTGGTCGTCTTTAACCCAACTTATTCCAGCATTATTTCTGGAATAAATTTGTAAATATGCATTTTTTTCTTTTTTCGATTAAAACAACATTAATTTAAAAATATGTTTAATTTAAAACATTATTAAAAAAAATCTCAAATCTTCACTATTTGACCAAGCCCCACCCAACTTATTCCAGCATTATTTCTGGAATAAGTTTGTAAATATGCATTTCTTTTCTTTTTCGATTAAAATAACATTAATTTAAAACATTATTAAAAAAAAATTTCAAATCCTCTCTATTTCTTCCTATCTTTTGTCTGTATCCTCCAATTATTTTTCATCTCTCTCCTTTCTCCCTTCATTTTCTTCTGCTATTTTTTTCCAAAATTCTACATTAAATTATGGACGTTTTGATTTTTCTTTCCCCTTCTCTTCTTTTAAAACCCAACTCCTTCTCGTGAAAATACTTGTTTTTTGGTTCCCTGAATTTTTAGTTTACAATTATGTTATATTTCTATTTTTTTGTATTCACAAAGAATGCTATCTGTGGTAGATTTGAGGATTTTCAGCCAAAAAAGGGGCAGTTGTAAATATGGCAAAAATATTTAGTAAAATAAGCAAAAGAGCAACCACATTTAGTTTTTTCAAATATAGCATTTTTTCCAACAAAAAACGGAGGTCCAATTTTAAAATTACAATTTTACCCTGCAATATATCTTATATATATCTGTAATATATCTGCAATATATCTTACTAGTGATAGTCTCTGATATACCACTGATATAATAATGATATACAATTGATTTACTTATGATATAACTATGATATCTACTGAACTTCTAACATGACTAACCACTAATATACGTATGATAACTATTTATATATCTGTGATATATACTTGATATGTCTTTAATTTACCATTGATATACAAATGATATACCATTAATATAACTGTGATATCTACTAATATAATTTCTTATATATGATTTACCACTAATATAACACTGATATATATTTGATATATACTTAATATGCTTCTAATTTACCATTGATATATCTCTGATATAACCATGATATCCACTAATATATCTATGATACATGTGTGTTGATATAACACTATTATATCCACTATTTCTTCACATGAAAACAATGGTGAAAAAAAATTTGAAATATAAAGTTATTCTATGAAAGGTTTATGTGGATCATGCACGTCCAAAAAAAAAAACAAGTTAAAAATTTGATATACTTTATAAATTTAAACAATTTATATCCCTTATATTTAGTATCTAATTAATATTAATATAGAATAAATAGTAGTGATATAGTAATCAATATTATTGAATATTATTGATAATATTAGTATATCAACCAACAAATTGCAATGATAAACTAGAATTTAAACAACTGATATACCTTATATTTAGTATATCATAAATTTGAGGTATATCAAATATATATATATATATATATATATGTACCTCTGATATACATCTGATATACTTCTGATATACATTATCAGATGTACCTATGATATACATTATTAGATGTATGCATTATACCTCTAATATATCTATATATCAGATATAGATTGAATGTATATCAGATACAAATATATATTGGATATATATCAGATATAGATATACATGAGATGTATATCAGATATCATAAAGGTAAAATCGGAATAATAAAAATTCCAAAAATAAAAATTCAAATATTTTGCTATATTCGAAAGTTTGAAAAGCTGATGACATTTTTTGAAATACATAAATCAT